ACCAAAGAAGGCTTTGTGTAGGAAACTTTTAGCACCTGTTGACTTCGTTGCATTATACAATGAAGTAAGGTCATATTTTATGCCCTTAAAAATCTTGTTTATTTGAAGAGACAGTCAAATATCAGGACTTTTAATCTACGTATATATTTTAATCAATAAAGATAAAATAATTCTAATTAGTTAAGCAAGTACCCAGAATTGTTATTCTTAAGCATGTGAAAAGTAAGGAGACTTGGGAGTCATTATTCACAAAGATAATCTTGTTTAATGACAAAATAAAGTCTTGTTTTACAGCAAGTGACATTCAGTTTTCCTTGGAAAGAGTCAGACCTAAGAGCTATGGTGAACATGAGAATTTGGAACTTGGTGGTCACGCTGATGAGCTAGAAATTCTGAAAGAAAACTGGGACTTCCTTAGATCTCCCACAGAAAAAGTATAAAAACATTAAAAGAAGTGAACCACAGTTGGTTTTTGTAAGCCAGTGATTCCATAATGTTAAAGATTTTTTTCTCATCTCTTACAAGCTCCACAGCACCTTTCCCCCCTGCTATTTTTGTGTCATATAATTAGCATATAATTATGTGCTCTTTCACATTGGAAAGACTATTCTTTTATTAATGAGTCTTTTTAAAAGTTCTATATTATTTATCTTTGAAAGTGGGTTTGAAATTGGAAGGCTTATATAGCTTTTCTTTCATTTTTAAACTTAGGATATTTTAAAAGCAATACAGGAGATAGTTATGGATGTCACAGACATTCCTCAATTTCTCACCTTTTGAATAGTGTTTAGGTAGATATAGGTTCCAGGGCCGGGGAGATGGCTTAGTGGAATAAGCGCTTCCTTCGCAAGCACAAGGGCCTGAATTCAATCCCCATTTCCACCAAAAAAAAAAAAAAAAAGAAAGAAACAAAGAAAGAAAAAATAGATATAGGTTCCATCTTTTGTTCTTGCCAAGATTTAATGCTTGGGGTTCTGAAGCACAAAACTGCAGTGTTACAAAAAGTTCCGAAAAGAAAAAAAAGAAAGAAACAAAAAGTAGTGTCTATCCCTTTTGAGACAGAAAATGGGGCAGCATACTGTCTGCGTTTAGTGCCAAGCCAGAGGAGGGTACCATTTATGGGCATGGTATAAAGCACAGTGGAGGTTCCAGGTTAGTCTAATATGAGTTTAGCCAGCCGCTGGTTTTCAGACAGTTCTGGAAAGTACCACTCCTCCCTGCCAAAGTCATGCAAGGCTGGTTGTTAATTTTGGCTGGCTACTTTTTTCCTAACCTGAAGCTTGCCCAAGCATTCCAGATTGGATATGGGCAATTATCAGGCAGGGTGTACATTATTGCAAATTTTAATCATTTCTCGAGCCATTTTGCTTGTAATGATGATCTCATATGACAGACACATCTTGCATAAGAAACACAAATAGATTTTAGCTAAAAGCAGCTCTTGCATTACTGGGTAATCTGTTCATGCCTGCTTTGCCTCTGAACTTCCTTTGGGTGGCTAGGACCAGTCAATTCAGGGTTCTAATGCTTTTTGATGAGAGCAGCAAGAGACCCTGTACATATAAAAAGACTGGAAAGAACACAGTAATAACCATGATTGAAACAATTATTCAAGTTTCTTCTGTTGTGATTTATACATAGTCAAAATCACCTCTATCTAAATTCCTCGTATGGGCAAAATGATACTGTCCTCAGGAATACTTCAAGACTTTTTTTGTTTTTCAGTGAAAATGTCAGAAAAGTAATAAACTTATGACTTTGGAGTGTGTGTATGTGCGTGCGTGCGTGTGTGTGTGTGTGTGTGTGTGTGTGTGTGTGCAATAGTGAAAGGGAAATTCATTTACATCATTTTATAAAGTAAACTAATATTCAAAACTGCTTTTTTTTTTTTTGTATTTTAGGGAAGGGTCTACAGGATGTTCAGGGTCTCACTACAAGATCGGACTCATAGTGATCCGGACATTTACAGCCTCCCAAGTGCTGG